GCGGAGCAGCTGGTAGTTTCGAACCGCTGTCCTTAAGGTTCGCAGCCCGATTCGTAACCACTATGCTACCAGAGCTCCTTATACCATTATAGTTATTTCTAATTATACCATCCCTGATTCACATGATAAAATATGTATTGGTTTCTCATTTGAATATGAAGGTTCATTGTTATTCATGTTGTTGTTGTTGTTAGTGGATTCTGACTCATATATAAACTCTTTATGGGGTTTCCAAGCAGCAGCTGGTGGTTTTGAAACTCCCACCTTGCTGTTAGCAGTCCCTACAGTGCCACACCAGGACTCCTCCCTGAAGCATGTTGTTGTTGTTTAGTGCCTCAATAGTCTAATGCCAGGTTCCAAGGAGTCCTGTTGTGAAGCTGGATGGATAGTCACAAGGTTGGCCATTCAAACCCACCATTAGGTCCTTAGAACCCTATACAGCATCACTGGATGGTACTTAACAACAGCAACAAGTGGCCTCCCCAGGCTTCTTCCCAGTCCTTGCCTGTCCCATAATCCTAGAGGCTGGGATTGAGTCCATTCCAAGGGATATTAATTGTTCCCAGAATTGACTGAAATCTGACTGACTCTAGAAATTGAAGTCTTTGTGTTTTATCTATATCCTAAATGTGTAAAGTTACTGAATTTTACATGTCTTTTAGGGTGAAGATTTTTTATTTTCAATTTTTCTTGTACTGCTGAGAGTTTCATTTTCACCAGGTTCCCGAGTGAAACCAAGGATCACACTACGACATGTAGAATTCAATCACTATTACTCTTAAACAAGATGATTATAATGTTGATTATAAAAAGGACAGAAATGTCATTACCTATCAAGACAATCTCATTAGTGCTAGTATTTTAGTATTCCTGAATAATTTATAAAATATATAATCAAGATTTTATTTGCAAATAATTTCCAAATGCTGTATAGTTCCCCTTCTAAATTACAGAGCAACATATTGATGTCTGTGACCTTACTATACTGTAACTAAAGAAATTTAAATCCAATTATTTTTTCTAGTTTCCTTAGCATTTTTTAAAAATGTTTTATTGTGAATTATATGGTAGTTTACATGACAGAACTTTAGTTATACATTCATTCCATCGTATTACATCTCATTACATTGTATTACATCTCATTGCCATGGTTCCAATCCCCTCCATGCATCATCAACCAACCAAAGGGTATATCCTAGAAGCCTGCCCCCTACACTTCCCCCTCCCCCATTTTTGGTCTACAGTCCCTTTCCCTCTCTGGATCCAAAGTCCCCAGCCGCTTCATTACTCCACGTCATCTTCTCTGTCTCCATCTCAGGCATCTCTGTTTCTCTGGGTAGGATCCCTTTCTCGGCTCTTCTCCGTTGATGGTCCCAGATACCTCTGCTCCTAGCCTGTAGAATTAATCACTCC